AAGGACGTAAAATGGGGCAAAACTCATTTAACAAATGTCTCATTTAACAATAGAAATTTTGGGCTCAATTGTGGTCATAAGCCGAGGACTACATGTGGTCCATAGTAATCCACAATGGTCCGCAGAAGGTGTCCAGGACCACAGAAAAAGGATTCAGATGGTACATACCCCCCTCCCCCGTTATATTAGTAGGAATTTCTGAAATTAAAAGGAGAGGCTGTTTTTATTTCTAGTGAGAAGCCATCTATGAGTTACAGATGGTCTTCGACTTATGACCACATTGGAGCCAGGATTTTTGTTGCTAAGCAAGGCAGTTGTTAAGATTTTATTATCTTTTTTTGCCACAGTCAAGTGAATCACTACAGTTGTTAAGTGAAACATGCAGTCATTAAATGAATCTGGCTTCCCTCATTAACTTTGCTTGTCAGAAGCCAGCTGGAAAGGTCATAAATGGCGAACACATCATCTCAGGATGCTATAATCATCAAAAATACATGCTAGTGCCAAACACCCAAATTATGATCACGTGATCGTGGGGAAGCTGAGATGGATGTAAGCTTGAGGACTGGCCATAGATCACATTTTTCAGTGCCATTGTAACTCAAATGATTGCTAAATGAATGGCGGTTTTAATCTCTTTGAATAAATTGTGTTAATCTGAAAACCGCTCCTGAGGAACACCATAGAGGAACACAACTACCGTAGCGGAACACAACAAATGTCTTCATTTTAATGCCAGTTGTTATTGTGAATGATCTTCACTGTAAATATCAACCTGGGCTCGGCAACAATCTCCAAGGACACAATTATGGTCACAATGAAGGAGACAGAGAAATGTTAAAAACTCAGAAATGTCCAACTCGCCCTTCTATATTTCTTTCCAGAAATCATGCTGAGAAAGGTCATTTCTTTTAAAATGTCCAACTTTTAGGAAGCCCAGAAACAGAGGGGACTCCCATTTTTCAAGGAAACGCTTTACACACAGACACACACACACGTTGCAGTTGTGTTGAAGAGGCTTCTTTGGAAGGAGGTGTGAAATCCTTATCTAGCGCCAGTTTGTCTTGAAGATCAAATTCTTGTGGAGTGTGGTAGCATATAATAATTTTTTAAAATGTTTTGAACTCTGCTCCTCTTCCTGGTTTACTTGCACCCAAGACATTCTCTCTCCAAGCCCCCAGGAAGGTGGAAATGGCCAAACCACTTCTGAAAAATCTTGCCAAGGTCTCTGGGTCGCCTCCACCGGTGGCCTTTCTGGCAAAACCTTCGCACATTACTGGCCAGGCCCGTGGGCCTTGCTGTGCCTGGCTTCGTTTTTGTAGGCCCAGTCAAGTGGCCTACAACTCGCTCAAAATTTGGATAGATTTTTTTCCCCCCAGGTGGTTGTGCTCTGCAGAGGAAGCCAGCAGAATCAGGGGGGCTGCTGGAGGTCTGCACACCCTTCCTTGCAAGGGACAGGAGGGAGGGGGGCTGGAGGAGAGAAAGGCAGGGGAGACTCGCAGCTGGTCTGGTCTCGGTGTTGTCTGTTGTCGGAAAGCTCATCTTCCTCGTGCATGGCTGTTCAGGAATGTGGCTCTGATTCCTAATCCAGGATTCCCTCAGGGGCAGTTTCGGCTGTGTGAGTCGTCGGATGCCTGGTCTCAGTTCTTACTATATGCTTATCCAAGTCGACACACAGGGCTTAGTGGTGGCAGCATTTCCTACCACGAACAAATCTAGTTAAGGTTTAACGTGGCTCGTTGTTTTGCTTTGCCGTAATGCGTAGGTTCATCCTCCTGGAGAAACGATGGTTGAAGTAGATTGCGCAAAATCAGAAAAAGGGAGCTTGATAATTGTGGGGCATGAATTCATCCGATGTTGTTTTTGTTTCCTCCTCTTTCTCTTCCTCCTCCTCATCTTCCTGCTCTTCCTCCTCCTCCTCCCTCTCACCATCTTCCTCCTGCTCCTCCACTTCCTCCTCCTGCTCCTCCCCCTCTTCCTCCTGCTCCTCCACTTCCTCCTCCTGCTCCTCCCCCTCTTCCTCCTGCTCCTCCACTTCCTCCTCCTGCTCCTCCCCCTCTTCCTCCTGCTCCTCCACTTCCTCCTCCTGCTCCT